CAAAGGAATAAATAAACCCGGATTAAAATTTAACCCTAGGTTAGCGCTAATCAGCAGCCTTCAGACAACAGGGCCGAGGCGCCGAATGTCCAAAGACTTTAGCGTTCCCTTGCAATTCTTTCCCAGACCCCTCACTGACCGGTTTCAAAATGGCCGGCGGATCAGTTATAGTCATTGCGTAATCATCTCGAAGCGGTTGCTCAACCTAGCAATTTCATTACCTCATTTCTCGGGTGTGCTATCGGCGAAATTTTGCGTGAAGGTTGAGGGCCAATTTCATCGGAGATGAAGCTGCTTCGTGTTTGTGTTATTGGCGCTGGAGGCGCTGGTCTGGCAATTGCTCGTCATCTTACAAGTCAGGTGGATATTTTCAACGTGTCTGTGTTCGAGCAAGCTTCTTCTTTGGGAGGAACGTGGGTCTTCAATGAAGACACTGGTACAGACGAACGCGGTCTTCCCATTTACTCTAGTATGTACAGAAACCTCAGGTAAGAAAGTAATTAATTTTTCTTTCATGTTGAACTTATGAATATGTTTTATTACACATAGGCCGGTGAAAGTGAGATGTTTTAATCTTCATAGTGCCTTAGGCTAGAAGATTCTGGAGATTGATTGTTGCATAGTATCCCAGAGTGTAGAGTTCTTTTTCTCTCAAAGTCAGCACAAAATAATGATTGTTAGAAACTAATGTATGGAAGTTAAATACGTCACAACACTTATTTTGCCTATTGAAAAGCTACAATTAAATTCTCAAGTTAATGCATCCCTCCTTGAAAAAACAACCCTTCAGTTAGCCAAAATTTGAAAAATAAGGGTACCCTCTTGAACAAAAAACCTCCCCCCTACTTCCTTTTCCTTTAGGCTACTGATTATATTTGCCAAATTACCTTGCATGATTGATTGTGATCAGCATTATATATTACAGTAGTTTCCAATAAAGTGTCAAAAGTAGTCCAAGACTGCTTTGTTTTGCTTTACTTTGCTTTTGCCAAACTAAAACCATTCGTGGTCTGGTCCCTTGCTTTTCCAGTACTTTAGATTGGCTTTAAATTTCCTTCCTTCTGATTATCTTTTGTGATTTCTGTGGTTTTCATTCTACAACACTTGATTGAGAAGCACTGTACCAGGTACCATAGCTGAGCCACAGAGCATCAGAGCATGGAGTCCAAGGGTCTGGGTTCCACCTCTTTTTGGGGACTTAGAATTTTTCTTTGTCCACCACCTATGACAAGGAGAATAACATCTGCTTTAATTTTGATGACGAAGCTCTAAATTTATATCATTTTGTATTTTGTTTACTCATTGTTGCTTTTGACTTAGCTGATACCAGCTGTATGCTGGACATGTGTCATATTAACCTCATAACACCCCATAGAGTTCTCTCCGGCTCAGTGGTAGGGCAGTAGAGTGTGGAATCCCAAGCTCTTAAGTTTGATTCCTCATGAAGTCTCAGAATTGTTTTCTTTGTTCCACGCACAAGACAAAAAAATTAACACCTTCCTTTAATTTATAACCAGGCTTGAGATTTATTATCTATTATGTTCTGAGAAACTTGTCTTTTACTTGTTTTCAGGCCCATAGCATGTATAACTTGACTGAATTCACATCCTTATTAATCATTAAGTTAAGCAAACCACAAATGCAATATTTTTGTCTTACTGAGAAGTTAGTTTACCAAGAAATTCAGAAAACAGATAGCTAATTTAAATCTGCTCATTTATTTTTTTTCAATTGTGTTTTTCAGGACTAATCTCCCAAAAGAAGTAATGGCCTTTCCTGATTTTCCTTTTCCCTCAGAATGGAGATCTTTCATTAGTCATCAACAAGTTCTCAAATACCTTGAAGACTATGCCAGTCATTTCAATTTATACAAATATATAAGTTTTGACTCTACCATTACCAGTGTGCATCCAATCACAAATGAAGACAGTCACAATCCTCAGTGGGAAGTTGTCATAACAAATGCAAATACTAAAGAATCCAAGAGTTGCATATTTGAAGCTGTGGTGGTGTGTTCTGGGTAAGTTCAATGATGTCCTAACCCTTTTTAACTCCCAGAAATGATAAATATTTATCTTCTCCCCATAAGGTCCTTACATTATCCATCAAACAGGTATGGAGAATACTCAAACTTGTCAGGTAGAAGTTGTTATCTTGAGCCAACACCAAGTACTTGTAACTAATTTACAAGGAAATCTGTAGCAGCTAGAGGGGAAAATAAGCCATGAGATCTTGAGAGTTAGAGAGTTTAGACATGGAATAACTAAATTAAATATGTGTTATTTTCTTTAACAAAAGTGGTTGGACACCAGTCATGATCTGTTTTACCTGGTTTCTGGTTTGTACTTTCTTCTTTTGATATAACATATAAGATTTTTAGCCTCCTGGAATTTTTCTTCACTATTTCATAACCAAAAATAAGAGGCTTAGATTGATGTTTAGCTAAAAAAAAATTGCCTAGGGTTGAACTAGTTGAGAGCATTTTTGACTGGAAACTTTTCTGTTATCATAATGTACTAAAAAATGTTAAAATCAGAATTGATTTTTTGAATTTGGAGTGTTTTGGATATTCTTTGGATCTAATGGTTCATGTGTTGAGTTGCCTTTTGCTGAACTCTCACTAGTAACATTCATTTCATGCTCATTAGAACAGATTAATCTAGGGCAATGTTAACTTTTGTGACAGACACTTTTTATGTTATGAAAAGCCTTATAATATATAATGACCTGTGGAAAAGGATAAAACTTTAATGAGGTCCCCCTGGGAGAAGATCAATACAAATCACAAATGAAATATTTGAGAAAGGGGATAAACTTTTCAAGATGCATGAATTGTGACATATATTTCTGCAATCATCCTCTAACAACTTCAATATCATGTTTGGTTCCAGGCATTTTTTTGATCCTCTTATACCAAGTATTCCTGGGCTGGAGTATTTTGGTGGACTGGTGATGCACAGTCATGATTATCGTGATCCTCATCCCTTCCAAGGAAAACATGTTGTTGTTCTTGGTGCCTCATCTTCTGGTCAAGACATCTCCCTGGAAATTGCTAAGATGGCAGAAAGAGTGTATCTTAGTCATAAAGGACATCTTTCTTGTAAACTTCCAGACAATGTGGAGGAATGCAGACCAATGTCATGTGTATCATCCGATGGGGTGGTTCATTTTGATGATGGAGAACAGAAAGAGGTGGATGTTATTTTATTCTGTACTGGTTACAACTTCTCATTCCCGTTCCTTCAGAGTGACTGTGGGGTTGAAGTGAGTGATAACAGGGTCACACCTCTGTACAAACACGTTTTCAGTACAAAATATCGTACGTTGTCATTTGTTGGGCTCTGCCTGAGGATTTGCCCATTTCCAGTGTTCAGCTTTCAGGCTCAATTCATTGCAGCTGTTTTGAGTGGAAAGGCTAAATTGCCATCTGAAGAGGAAATGAATGCTGAAGAAGAACAGGAGTTCAAAGAAAAACTTGCCTCCGGTTTGAGGAAGAAATATGCTCACTTTCTGGGTGAGAAACAGTGGGACTATATGAGATGCCTTGCACAGCTTGCTGGGGTGCAGCCCCCAAGTGAAGCTTGTGAGAATCTTTATAAGTTTATTTCTAAAAGGAGAAAAGAGTTCTTAATGGATTATAAAATGATGAATATGAGTTCACTTCTAATGGAAAATGGAAAAAGAAAATAGATATGTAAACAGTAGTGATAAACATACATGTACACCAATACTGCAAAGCTTGTAGTAAGGAGGGGGGTGGGGTCAGGGGGCTTGTTACTTTCCAGGGCTTCTTGACAGGGTATTACAAAGTAGAGTCAGTAAATCTTCATAGAGAGAGTATTTATCTTTCCTCTGAATGATAGCTCAGATTAATAATTTATGTTTGCAATATGCATTTCTTTGACTGAAACCTTTCATGCTTGCAAGCACAAAGATATTTTTTGTTACCTGGCCCAAAATTTGTTACAATGAAATTATTTTTCACGGTTTTTGATTAAAGAGAAGGAAAGGGTTGTTATTGTTTCATTTGCTGAAAACTCGCCCTGTAAACTCGTTTACACATCGTTTTTCTTAATGTGTGGGCTCTAAAGAGTTTTAGCCTGATCTTGACTTGCTGCTGAAATTTTTTTTTTTTTTTTTAATAGATAATTTTAAGCTTTTTCAGTCTCAAGGTCAATAAAATTACCAAAATGTTATCAACAATAATGGTTGGACTGTTATTTTCTGTAGATAATATCAAGACAATGGTTTTCGTTCTTGAGCTGAAATGTCACAATGTTTGGCGTTCCCATTGCCCATTACATTTTTAGCCGACCAGGTTTCAAGTATGGATAGCCCTCTCAGCAAAATGTTGTTGCTGTTGTAGCTTTTTTTCTTTTGCATTTTTTGATACTTTCGTTTTAATGCTAGTATTAATTTTTTTGTATAATTTTCATATAGCTGTTACTTGTCGGTTACTGCGATGTGGATTTTGTTTTCCCATGGGTAGACTACCTTATGAGATCTTTGACATTTAAGACTAACCATTGATACAACAACAAATTACCGAACCTTGCATTCGGCACGGCTTTTTTCTCGCCTCCACTCCCCATTTCTTTTTGCTGACCCGCCATGCTATGAACAAACGGAGGGTTGACAAACAACTCACAAGGACACACTGAGAAATGCGGGCGGGTCAGCAATAAGAAACTGGGAATGGTAGCGAGACAAAAGGCACTTGAGGCAAACCACAACAGAGAAAGCAACGAGAACTTGACGAGACAAAGAACTTAATGAGCACAGCAGTAGCTCAGCGCATACGTTTTCAAGCCTTTTTCTGCAAAACAGCAACATTAATTCCCCAAAATTTAAGTGGTCTGTGAACGAAAACCCTGACAGCGAATTATTCACGTTTTATTTGGAAAACAACGCGACTTTTCTATGTTACGCTCTAGTTGAGGTCAGGTGCCGTCGGAGACGGTGGAAAGATTACGACAACCCCAGTATAGTCTTGAACAAACCATTTGCCTCGGAAGTAACCTATTGTTTTCGCCATTGTTCTTATGAGTGTGGGGCCCTCCGGAATCTTGTCGAGACGGCTTAAAACACTTTTTTCATTAATTAAGGAAAGTTCACGTTTCCTTCAAAGTTTCCGCCCTGACTAATTCAGGTCCCAAAAAGGTCTGGCCATTCCACGACTTGGTGAGTTTCGTCATTTATAAATTTTGTATGACGGTTACGATTTAAGTACTGGATTGTAGGATTTTCAGGGCATCTCGTTCTGAAAGTCACAGTAAAGTGGAACGTTTATTTTGATGTTTTGAATTTGAACACTGTTGTGGTTAGGCGCCGTTAGTTGCAGTCTCAGAGGACGAGATTGTGACCGCTTGGAGTCTATTTCCAAGCTTTGTCTCCTCCTCTTCAAGAAGCCACCGTTTGTGGTTCACTGCAAAACGTTACAGAAAATCTGGTGAGTTTTGTCATTTCTAAATTTTGTATGACGGTTACGATTTAAGTACTGGATTGTAGGATTTTCAGAGCATCTTTTTCTGAAAGTCGCAGTAAAGTGGAAAGTTTATTTTGATGTTTTGAATTCGAGCACTGTTGTGGTTAGGCGCCGTTAGTTGCAGTCTCAGAGGACGAGATTGTGACCCGGCTTTGAGTCTATTTCCAAGCTTTGTCTCCTCCTCTTCAAGAAGCCATCGTTTGTGCTTCACTGAAAAACGTTATAGAAAATCTGGAGAGGCCATAAAAAAACTACACCCAGAAGTTAACTTGTTGGCTCAAACCATACTTTACATTTTGATAGCTGCAAAGAAGGGACATCTGTTTTTTTCCTTCGAGCTTACACAGTTATCGAGACAACTATTTATAGATTGTTCTGAGTCAAGCCAACCGATGTAAATGAAAGACAGACTCCATTAATACACACTAAGATTACGTTTTTTCCTATCTAATATTACTGATCTGATATTACGCATGCAAAATTTCGGCATGCTTATTCGCTGAGAACACGTCCGTTAATCCCAAACAGCGCAAAGAGTTGAAATTTAATTTTTACCATATTTATTAATCAAAGCACACATTGTTGACATATCGTTATCAAAAAGAATGATGTGGTTGCTTTTCATAAGGATGTTGCGATTTGCTGAGAGCCTTCAAAGCGACTGAAAAAGAGAACAAAGAAGAGTGATAAATAAGAGGAAAAAGAATAAAAATGGCTTTTATTCAGAAGACGTTTATAATTGACAATCTACGGTGCAACATACACTGTAGATAGACTTTAACCCTTTACTCCCGTGAGTGACCAAGACAGAATTTCTCCCTACAATATCAATATAATATCAAACAGACAAGTGACGAGAATAAAGAAAATATCAGTCAGGAGATTATAAGTTGATCCAATACATAATTCCCCAAACTAATATCACAAGAACTGTATGGCAGACAGTAAGGAGAATTAATAATGAGATCTTGGGAGTTAAAGGATTAAAGCACCTACGTCAATGTTTATTTTTGTTTGGGAGGGTTCAAAACAGTATCGATTTTTTTGCACCAAATCTCTGATGGATCGTAGTTTATATAATGATGATGATAGCAATAAACATAACGATTACAATATTTATTTTGTGCCAGTATCCTACAGTTCAAATGAGTTTTTCAATATTTGAGAGATCTAAAAAGAAAATTAAAAAAAGCGATGGAAACACCTTTTTTAAAAGAAGGAAACGTTTATTCCTCGGAAATCGTAAAAAAAAGCCAAATTTTCTTTTTGACATATTAGGTTACCACAGCTACATCACGGCCTCTCAAAACACCCATAATCATACCTCGTGTTCCTCCGACTCAAAAAAATAAAAAAATATGTACATACTGCTCAGCACCAGCTTCATTTTAATCATTTTAAGCCAACATAAACTGAGAGCACGGCACCTTACCGTACTTTCTCCAGAGTGCCATTAATCTTCTCGTAAAGTTTCACTCTATTGTCCTCATCTCCAATGCCAAGCGCCTCCTCAGTAAATCTTAGCAGGCCATCCTTTTCATCCTGAAAAGAGTGTTTTGTAATGAACTGTTTCTTTTCGCTTGGGGTTAAACTGGGATGGATGGATTCCGAGAAACTACAATTAGGCGAAAACAGGTCTACTAAAGGGTACTCTGTGGAGAAAGGGAGCCGTGAATATTGCTGAGAGTGCATTTCGATTGGGAAATAAAAGAAACGATCAACCAGAAACTAAGATATCACAACAAACCGATGAGTGCTCATAGTAAAAACAACCAAACTACTGGAAGCGAGGGAAAACGAGAGTTAACAAACGGCATGATTGTTTGAAAGAGAAGCACAAGCTTTGGAGAAAAATCACAGACGCGTCGTAGAGCCTTGAGTTAAATGTATAAAAAACCTGGATGACTTTAAACTCCCTTGTATATTGAGGATAAATGTCAAGATTTCAATTTCACTTAAATCACTTTAATCAGTGTTACCTCAAGTTCATTAATCTCCTGTAACAAGGACTCAAGCATCGTTCGCTTTTTAACATTTATCCCCTGATTAATCTGAAAGAAGAGGGTGATGATGCAGGTTATTTTTTCGCACAGAAAGTGGTCAAGTAGCATTTTATTGCTGACAGTGTTGTTACAGTTTATGAATGACAGATTTATACAGCAGTTTCAAAATCAGTATAGCGTTTTTGTATGTTTGTTTTCCTGTCCTCATACTCAAGGAGGACTGCTTAACCTATCTTTTTTTTAACCTGGAATATTTGATTTTTGACGAAATGTATCGAGCTGAAAATCCATATGTAAGTTTGACTCCCGAAAAATTAGTTTAGTTTGACTTTCAGACTTTCAGATTTGTACAGTCTACTCTATGATTGACAGGTCAAGAGTATATATGTACTTAGCGACTGAGTAAGAGCGCCGGACTGGAAAATATTTGCCTCTAACGTTTTCCAGTCTCAACAAAAAGTTGCAAAAACCTATGACATGTCAGTTGAGCGTCTCCAGGTAAAGTGCTCAAAATAAAGCGAGTCCGTATATACAAGTTCCATGAGACACCTTGGCTGTTTTTATACATTTAACAATACAATACAAAATGTTCCACAACTAACGATGCCAAATTATCTTTTGATTTTTAGTTATTTTTTTTCTCTGGAGGTTTTTCAATTTTTTCTGATTAAAACTAAGTCAGTCGTAATGTTTTGTCAGATTTTGTGATCGACTCTGTTATAGTGTTTGCCAAATTTGAAATATGTTTTAATATACCATATACGTACGATTTAGCACTATGAAGGAAACTTGATATCCTCAGATTGCCTCACCTTTTTCTCATTTTGAAGAACTTTAAATTCCAGCTGTGATAGGTTTATACCAACATCTGTAATTTTCTGAGTCAATTCTTTAAATTCACTCATCGCAGAGGAAATCAATGTCGACCTATCCTCTTGTTCATGTTTGGTCGTTTCAAAATTTGATGCCAGCGTCTCGATTCGCTGGCTTGCCTCTCTCAGATTCGAAGTCAGAACAGAAACACGGCTCTGTTTAAATGATGATCATTCATTTCATTTTTATGAGGTTATTGTGAATTTGCAACGCCACAGGGTACAAGACTGATCTCTACATTATGATATGTGAATTAAAATTGTACTCTTGATATTTTTTGGTGAAACAGTTATCCTGAAATTATGCGGGGTTTGTTTAACTCAATTTCATAAAAGAAATGCATTCAGAATTTTGTTAAAACAACCGCGAACATTCTGTTAACTTAGGTAATTACGAGCTGAAGGTTTTTGACTAATCAGAGCAGCTTCATTACCTATCCCACCCTAAAATAAAATAAAATAAAAATGAAAAGAAATTTTTTCTCATTCAGCGCTATGCCAAAGAGCCTGCCCTCGACCTTTCAGGTGTTCATAATTAACGGTTTTCTGAGTGAATTTTGAGAGACAGTTCCGGCATGCTTTTGTTCGGCAATCTTCGTTAACGATTGAAAATCCTTTGATAGTCTTTTCAAAATGATTTAAGAATGAAAAAA